CCGCCCTTGGGGTTCCATGTGACGCCAACAAGATGGTAGTCTTTGATGTACTCTGCGAGATGTGATAGCAAGCTCTTCAGTGTTTCCACGAAGGCAATATGATCGAGGCTAGACGTCTTGTATTTGACGCGGATCTTGTTGCCCCAAAAGTCCAGACCTTCGACGAAGGAGTCGACAGCAGGTTTGGGCGTGCGTTCAACACACAACCAGCCCAGAGCTTGCACAGCTTCGTACACCATGTTCTGGTGATTCGTGAATTCACTACGGTTGTCACGGATCTTGCTAATCTCTTCAATGCAGGACTGCACCTCTAACAAACTGTCGAAATCCGCCGGGCGTATCGTTTGTGGTCTTCGGCACTGGCTGGCCTGGAACAGAAATGATCGCTGCGCAATGAACGCCTTCTCGAGAAGCCGATCCAGCTCCAGAGCGGAATCTCCTAGCTGCTTGCACGCGGAGAGGAATGGAGGCAAGTACTCGTCCACGTACTCGTTGTAGGCACGAATCTGCGGTACCTCGCCGTCAGAATCAGCAGTTAGGCCCAGGAAAGCTTCCACGCGTGCCAGTCGAACACCAAAGCTGCTGACCAGACTCTCTTGCAGTGTTCGCTGACTCATCGTTGTCCTGGTTGCTGTCGCTTTTGTGAATGCGAAAGCACCTGCAACAACAAGTTGCCTTTCGAGAGTACAGTAGTGGCATAAGCGCAACGATTATGCTCTGTAGAAATCGGCTCCGAAACACTATCGAGATACTGTCGGTTCTGATAAATAAAAATAAGAGGATTCTCTAAATATGTGGTAAATGATTTCTGCTGCTGCTCGATGTCAACGTTTACTTATTTCTGTCGGAAAAACAGTCTTTGCCTCTCGTTAAAGCCTTTAAAATCTTTGGGGCGTTCTTAGTTCCAGTGTGAGCCACCACTACAGATCTCATTGCGGTGGTGCGAAAACTGATGATCTCGTCCACAATGCTTTTCATTATTGCAACTTCGGTCCGTTGGCCAGTGCCATGTTGCGCGAAGTGTGTAGCATGATTTGGACGTTCCTCGGGCTAAGACCTTGGTGCTTATCCAAAGCTTTGAGCGCGGCATTTTGTGTCAAGCTATGGTATATACAGATTATGTCGATAGGGAAATTGGAATTATGCATGCGCCTGGTTCTCTTCGCTGGACGTCCGTGAAGGAGGTTGGGAAAATTTATTATTAATTGAGTGAGAGCTCGTAGCCCAATATAATAAAAACAACAATACGATAGCACAAAACAATAAAAAAAATCCATAATGTTGTTAGCGACGCCTTGCTCTTCTTCCGCGTCCTCATACTCCTGCAAGGACTCCAACTGGAATCTGCAGGCGGAGATCCACGTGTCACACAGTGCCAAGCTCTTCTTGATCAAATTCTGCAATGACGTTCTGGGGCAGGTCTTCAGCGGGCTGCAAAGCCAGCCGCTCGTAGCCAACCCAGCTTACTAAATAAAATATAGCGCCCTCTACGTTGGTCTTCTTTGCGTATACTGTATCAACAAGATACAGGTTGTCTTGGTTTTCACAATCCGAGCCGTCGTCTTCCGACGATGTGCTGTGGTCACTAACATTAAGCGAAGGCATGCCTCACGGTAGCGCTCGAGCCTCTGCAGCAAGCTTGGCTAAAGGGTTAATTTGTGCTTGCTGTAGGCGTTCTTGACGGTGCTGATGCCGAGCTGCAACGAACGTAGCGACGTGAACAAGCCGCTTTTTCTTGCGAGGCATCGTGCAGTGTGCTACAGCGTTGAAGAGGAGTATAACGATCTAGTATTTTTGCATGAGATTGGATTGATACAACCGTTCCAAAAATTAGCTCATTTTATAGCCAATAAGATGTGACATTTTGACTGAGTTCCAATCAATAGAAAGGTTACCTCGTGAAATTTGATACTACCGCATCATATCGACATTAATAGGGATACAGCCTGGTGTGATTTTGCCATGCTTCTTCTTCGTCAATATGCGCTGCTCAAGAACAGCGAATGATCAACGTGTACTTGGGAGGCATGACTACACAAGTAAATAGAGTTTTGGTCACGAATGTAACAGCACTGCGCTAGAGTGTATCTGAAAGTCAGCTAGCAAAATTAATGAGATAATCAAGCGAGTTCCCTGTATTACAGACAACGATAGATAAAACCGGCAGCGTAAAAGCCGGTATTACATAGCCGCTTCCATAGGAACACAGTGACACTTTTATTTAATCAAATTCAAATATTTTGATATTTACCCAATCATGTATTCATTACAATTGAATGGTTATGGTCAGGGCCTCTGAATATGGCATTTTTATTTAGTAGACAAAGGAAGACAACATACATTATGCGTTATCTCCTCTATACTCTATCAAATACATTATGTCATTAAACGAAGACGGCAAATAAATAACGTAGTAATGAAGACCACTAAAATGTATTACCTTAGTTCTCCATTGAGAAACATGTACATGTACGGTATCAATTGATGCTGTTGACCGTGCTAGAATCCCAATAACCACGGTTCTCACGGAGGAATAAGATCATCTCCAGCGTTGCAGGTTGCAACCCTTGTCTTTGGTGACCAAATGTCACCCGCGCCGCACTAAAAAAGCGTTCCACAACGTTAGACGTTGGTGGAATCGTCTTCAATTGCTCGTAGGAAACAGCGCGTCCGGCAATCCGGCGGCGCTTACGATGCCGTTCGACAAACGAAAGATCTTCGTTGTCCGATTCCACCGTTGCGTCCCCCGCCAGCTTTACGAAAGGGCCGAGGGCAGTCTTCTCCGCACGCGTTAGGCGGTTCTGCCGTCCCCTCAGAACGCGAACACACCCTGACTCAAAGTCAGGGCTGTGAACGATTTCAGCTCGAGAACCTAATTAAGCATAATAAAAATAACATTAGAGCTACAATAAAAGAGTTAAGCTCATCATAAACGTACCGAGATGTGTCTCGAACTGTGGTTTTAGAGCAATAAGCTCATCAAACCACTGCCTGACATCCAGCAAATCCACATCGCGACCTTGGAGAGCCTTGGCGACGGATTCTACCGACTTGAGCTCCTTAAACAAGGCTCG